AAAAAAAAGAAGGTAGTAGCTGTACGCAACAAAGTAGACACAAAACGTCGTTGCCTACTCATTATTAAAGTGCCTATGAAGCAAAGAATACTGGCTGCTTATTTGAAACGCTTTTCAAAATAAAAAAAGATTGGCGTTTTCCTTTTTGGAATATCTTCAGTCGTTTTAGAGATATTTACGGTTTTTGTATTATAAATATGAGGAAAGTGATGACATCAAAAATAGTTCCACTAAAACAGTAAAAAGGGAATATTTCTGGAAATATTAGAGCAGAGTTCTCTAAACTTGAGACTAGAAATGTACATCACAAAAGAAACACAATGACACCCGCCGTGCCGTCACCATGACAGCAGTTTTGCTGCTGGTCCTGTTTTGATTAACACTGAAATTCTTAAAAAAGGATCATCCACTCCCAATAATCTAATGGAGAGAGTTAACGACAACATGAGTGCCATGTGTGTTTCGAACAAGACCCTCTGTCCCACTTTAATAGGTTTTTTTCTTTTTGCAATTTTAAAGGGTTACAAATGAGGATAATTTTATTTGGTTTTTGACAGAGAGAGATTTTATCATTCAACTTATAGTTACTGGAATTCGAAGAAAAACTGTACCAAAATTGTACCTTAACACGAACATCTCTACAAGATGGAGTGATGAACTTAAAGTCGTATCTTATATCTTCCTTGACTGCGTGGGACTCCAGATGTTTTTCAATTCGCTCAATTTCAATATCGTCTAAGCCACCTTCGAAGATTGAGGTCTTCCAGCTTCCTTCTTCCTCGAGTTTTTCTTTGATTTCAGCAAGAGTGAAATAGTCCTCTTCTTCGTCGTCTGAATCAATATAAGAACATGATATTACTCTTCATGTGAACATTCAATATAGCTACAAGCCAACGAAAGACCCAATGATTGTTTGGCATGGGTTAAAGATATTTTTCGGATACTTCCATATCACGTTTGTACATCAAGTGCACGGTGCAGGAAAGCTTGGCTGAAGACACATTACAACAAAATGTTTTTGTTAACTTGCACTTAATCCACAAGTGCAAGTAGGCGCAGTCATTTATTCTTTAAGGCACACGTGTGCTTTTTCTCTCAATGTCTTTTATTTCAATGTTTTGCGGATATATTTTGCATGGGTCAATTGTCATTCTCAACGTTCTGTTCCGTCGATGCTATTGTGTGAGGTGAGAACGTCGTAAACATAGAAAAGCCCCGGTACAGTATAGTGATACAGATTGTTGTAACTAAGCTAAATGAACCGCCAATGTATTCCTCCTAGTTTGCATGTGCTACGTAGTGGTTACTTGTCTTAATTTCGTCATTGCATCACTTTGAAATTCCAACACAAAGAATAAAACCTGGCGAGTGAAACTTTTGCATCTTTCTCTCACCTTCGCTTACTTCCTTTATGTAGGCATGGCCGAGGTGACACCATATAACTACTTTTAGCGTCTCCTCTTCCTTTTCTTTGTGAATGTTCTTTAACACCATGAGGAGTTCA